GGGCGGTACCGCCCACTTTGGGAACCACTGTTCTAGTGCATAAAATGTTTTCATGCATATGATTGTTAGATTTAGAAATATTTCTTTTTGCTGTTTTAAGCATATTGTGGGGGAAGAGAAAAAAAAGATAAAATTTAATTTAATTTACTGAGATTTTAAATTTGGATTTTTTTTTTTTATTCTCTTGGGTTTAGGATAAAAAGTTTGTCTTCATGCCATGATATGTGCTACTATAGTTTTGTAGGAAAATGATTAGTTTCTTATGTTTGAAAATATTTATCCTACAAGATTTTGTATATGGACTTTGTATGCTCCATTAATTCCATTAATTTCTAAAAGCATATGTTTAATATTAGCAACTACGTCAGTGTTGGCAAACCTTTTCAGCACCAGGTGATGAAATGGGAGCATGCACACACGGGAGAGCGCTGGAAACCAGAAGAACAGCTGCCAAGCACACACGTGTGGGAGCACTGATAACTGGAAGAGCAGTTCCACAGTGCACATGCGCGCAGTAGGAAGCAGAGCTTCCAAGTTCCAGAATGTGCATGCGTGCTGGTCACCTGGTCTTCTGGTTTCTGGCGCTCATGCAACCCAAGGAGCTGCTCTTCCGGTTTCTGATGCTCCCATGTGCACGAAGACCAGCTGGCCGGAACCAGGAAGAGCTCCGTGTGCCACTTCTGACATGCATGCCATAGGTTCACCAACACTGAACTAGGTTGAGGCAAATAATTTTAAAATGATACTATTAAAGCAGTACTTAATTTAAACAGTTACTTATAAATCATCAACATGCTATATGAAATGCATTAAAAAGTTTAGTGGGAAGATGAGTTATAATACATAGCACCCAGAGTTGTGCTTTAAGACAAGCAGCCACACAAATATTTAAATAAATTTAATGTGTTCTTTTTTCATTGCTATTAGGTAAAGTTCACTTCACTTGCAATAGGATCAGCACTTACATCACTAGACGTGGGCTGCTTCGCTTTAGCAGAAAGTTGCCAGAACATATCAGGAGGATTATGGGGAACTGTAATTAACATCCTTCTGGATAAATCCGAATGCAGCATGGTGCGAAGAGAGGTTTGTAAATCCCAGAAATGTAAACATGAATTTTCAACTGATTATAACTTGTTACTTGCTTGGATTGAATCAAGTGCTTAGGTCATTTATTTAGAAGAGCATGGACTGTGCCCTTAGCTTTTGCCTGTCTCCCTTTCTCTTCTGAAAAGATTATCCAAGAAATAGTGAACAATGAAAACAAGTATAGTGTGGAATTAAAGGCAAAACTTTGACAGTGGATTATTATTATATGAATAGTGCTAGATCTGCTACATTAGATAATATTTCTCCAAATCCTAGGTAATCAGATCCCTAACGTGGGCTGTCACCTCTCCTGACAAGACAATGGCTGAGCCATTGCCCCTCCCCCTTACACAAACACACACACATACACAAACACACACACATAGACATATTTATTCCTATATCCAATAAGTTCACTGCATCAATTTTTGAATTTGAGTAAGACCTTTCTTACTTCTATTTTTCATAGAGCATAAGATGCCTTTAGACAGGCCATCTAGGTGTTCTGGGATTGCAGTTTCCCAGGAGGGAAATGTAAAATAATGAAACCATTTTCCATAATAATTTTAAGGGATACCTCATTTTCTCCACAGCGTAAACCAATAAAGTTAGCCATTATGAAAAATTAAGCAACATGAAGCAATTTTCAGACTGAACTGTAACAATTAAAACATTAGCACTAAAAATAAGTTTAACTGTAGCTGAATTACAAATACTTTCATCTTTTTAAACTGTCAATCTGTGTAAGAACTTGTTAGAAAAATTACATTACATAGAAAGGAAATTTTCCATCTCTGCTTCAATTCTACTAAAGAATGCAAAATTTGATTTCTTTTTAAATAATCCACTCCATGGCCAAAAGCTTAAAACAGAAAAATTATGACGTATGAATTTAATGCATACTTTGCATTGCATTGATTCAGTATGTACTAGCCTAGATTCTTTTAAATGCAGCCAGATGGCACTGTTGATGTTTGTCTTCTTTTTTTTCTTTCTAGGCTGCATTTATTCTTCAGAATCTTTTGGTTATCCCACTGCCCAGTGAAGAGGCTAAAGACTCCAATTGGCAGGTGACTGGTTGACTTTATATGTTATTACTGCTCACCAATAGGATTATGCACAGCAATTTGTAATTTAGCAAGAGTACAAGCTGTTTTAGATGTACCTGGATGTGAAATTGTACATAATTTAACAAATACCTTGTTAATAGAGAAGCAAAAGGTTTTTTCTCCTAGTGTTGTTGTCCCTCAAACAAAGCTTCCTATATTAGATGAAAACAAAAACTTGGTGGTTTTCAAGTTAAGCTAACCTAAAAAGTAGATTTAGAAATGTCTTGAAAATAGACGCATCATTCAAATAAGATTCACAAGTATTTTCATTTTTAAAAAACATATCTGAATTCAGTTTCCCTGATAAATGTAATTTAGTTGTAATTTACTATCATAGAAGCAGTGTTCCAAGGCCATAGAATTACGTGGGTTTTTTCATATAAGGTCAAAGATACAAGTGTGATCTCTGAGAGGAAAATCCACCATCACATTCCTTCTTCCTTGCTCTCAAACTGATTGGATTGAATTTGTTTTATGTATTTTATGTTACAAATATTTGTCAAGATTTTCCCATCAAAATGCTTTCCACAGTGGTTCAGAATTAATTTATGGATTGATGATGGCCCAAAACAGGGATGGGGAACTATGGCCCTTTTACAATCTGTGAACTTCAACTCCCAGAATTCCTGAGCAACATGAGATCATGCTGCTTGAGAATTGTAGTGGGGGGGAATTTATGAAACAAAATGTAACACAGCTTTTTAAAGCTGCCTTTGGAATGCCTGATACTGTTGATATAATATGATAGTATCATATTCTCCCTGTCTCTGTTCTCCTCAAAGTTGGATTTAGAAAAGGGGAAGTACTAATAAGCGGGTATTCTTTTTTCAATGATTTTATTACAGTTTATATTATATAGGTCAAACTTATACAACTACAAAATAGATACATTAAAGAAAAACAAGTAAAAAATAAGGTGCAGAAGAAAATTAACCGAGATAAAAGGTAAAAATAAAAATAAAAAATCCTCCCCTTCATCCCGAGCAAGTATAATCAATGTTAAGAATTTACCACTGTTGGTTAAAATCAAACAGCTCTTCATTCCATAACTTTCCCCAGTATCTATAAAGCCATCTTTAAAACCTCATCCCTCACTATTTAAACAGTAAAAGTCCAGCAGGGGTTATCAGAAATGACAACCTAAGTATCACAAATTATCTGTTGCACCCAGATGAACCCATCCTTTCTCTTTAAATAAATCTCATCTCTCTTGAAATAATAAAAATTCCACCCCACTCAAAAATAATTAAGCATTGCCAGAAATAGCCATCATAATCCAGTCCTAATCAAGAAGCTTTTCAACATTCCTCAAAATAATCTTTTAACCTTAGTCAAATAAATTAATTTTATATACTTTCTGTGGACAGTCTTTTAAAATCCTCAAAGAAAGTTCTAGAATCAGTCTTTGCATACACTTTTCCTCTCTGAGTTGTTTTCTTCATTTTTATCAAGCCCTCTTTATACTTCCAATGTAGCAACCCCAGCAAACCCCTCTTGTAAATTCAGTGTAAGGGAATAATCCAAATAACTTGTCTGGTTTATTATTTGTTTGTTTTTTTCAATTTTGAATAATCATCTTTCATTTTTTTGTTTCCATCTCTTACAAATTCTGATTTTTAATTCCATCTATAAATCAATTTCAGTTTTATTCAGTGGGGCTGAATCCTCCGTAATTACACCAGCACTGCTAATTAAGAGTTAAATTGGTCAAAAACTTCATGTTACCATGAATGAAATAGAATTCTTTCAAAGTAGACTTCTGGTGCCCTCTAATGTCTAATCTTCAAAGTCTTTTGAATCAGCACAGATTATAAACAGAACATTTTTCCCCAAGGGAGAGAATCCTTTCAATCAATGTCCAAATCTTAAATCTGTTTGAAACTTTCCAAAGCCAAGGGTAATCACCCTCTTGCTGTATATTCCAGAAAATACAGGTCTTTATACTTGTAGTTAAACTGCTTTTTAAAGAAGAGTTGGATGAAGAGTTGGACCAGCGATTTTCATAAAAGTTGCCAGTCTGAAAGTTCTTAATCTTTAAAGAAAGCTAAATAAATTTTAAATAAATATTTATTTAACAAATAAATACAATTCAAAGTGATTTAAGAGTTGAATTTAAAGTCCTTATAGGCAATATTAGTGGCTGTATACACAATGTAATGTTGTGACTCCCAGTTGATAGGAAGCCTACTGCAAAAACACAGTTCCTGCCATCCCCTCACAAAAAAAGCAGCACATATGGATGATCAGATTATCTCTCTTTAACGCCAGATAAATTTCAGCTGCCCTGTTTCTCCAATTGGGCATTTACCACTCTCTTTACCACTCACTGGAAGTTTAAGTCCGCATTCTTCAGTCCACCTTCAAAAATCACTAATATTCTTACTTCCCTCCCTGCTGAAACTCTATAAACAGACTAGAATGGCCTTTGTTGGCAGTGGGAGACTGTCTTTTTGGTTTAGTAATAAAAGTTATAGAGCCAGAAAACTTTTTTCACAGTTAAAGGAACAAAGGAATCTCCATGACAGCAAGACTCGCTACTTGGACTGATGTTTTACTCTGTTACCCTCAAAGGTAGTGACATCAAAGAGAGACACGTGAAAGCAGGCATTGACAGAAACTTGGTGTTATTCAAACAGTTGTTTGCGAAATTAATTTTAAAACAACTTAATATAGCTACTTGAAGGACATGCAGATGAAAATGGAATTCCTGCTTTGGGGAACAGTGCCAACCCAGATTAATAATAGACAGTTTGGCAAGCTGCCTACTTGAGGCTTGTCAGTGTGAAGCTGTTATCTTAATGCTTTTTAGTATGCTTGTGATTAACTTTTTAAATTTTTCATGGATGCTTAAGAACTCTCTTTCAACAGTAAATCTGTGCTTTTTAAATAAATCTTATTGGATTGGACCCAGTGAGGGGGGGGAGGTTTTTAAGAGCAAGTAGCAGTAATCAGCATATGGTGGAAACGCTAGTTGAAAAATTCACAAAAGGTGTAATAGGTTTTCTAGCCATTCTTCTTTTCTCTTCAGTGAAATTGAAGCAGTATTTTATTTTGTTTTTCCAAGTTCATTGCACTAGTATAAATGTAAAATAATATTACAACACAGAGCTCTTCTCTCTTTTTTTTACACACACACACACATACAAACACTCACACACACTGTGTTTCCCAAAAAGAAGATCCTGTTTTATTTTTTGCCACAAAAAAGCACTGGGTCTTATTTTTGGGGTGGGGATGGGATGTTGTTCCCTGACTCACCTAATTTGTGTGCATCATCCCCAGCCTCCTTTTTGCTGTCAGAGGCCTTCAGGAACATCTGTGGTCAGCAAGGCTTTTCTGAAGGCCTCTGCAGCCGATAACAGAGCTCCAGATCGATCCGAAACTCTGTTATTGGCTGCAGATGCCTTCAGGAAAGCCTTGCCAGCTGCAGAAGAAATGAGCTGCCAAGGCAGGTGTAGGGGTGTGCGAGGCCTGGTTGCAACAATCCGAAGGTAAGTAGTAGGGCAGATCCCCCCATTCCCCCCCCCCAGCTTAAATTTTACCCATATATCCTGGAGTGGGCAGGGTCTTAATTAGGGCTTATTTTGGCTGTAGGACCTATATTGGGCACATGGGTTAAAATCATCCTAGGACCTACTTTGGGGGTAGGTTGTATTTTTGGGGAATCATGGTATATGATTCAGAGAGAAAGTGGGGGAGGGAGAGAGAGAGAGAATGAGAATGTACATGTACTGTATATATGTATACATATATATTTTAGAGAACTACCTATTGCATCAGCAGACTCTCTGTATCCAACAGAGTCGAAATAGATTGGGTCAACAATTAGTTCAAGTTTCTTAAGTCACTGGTAGAAGAATGGAAATCAGCATCAAAAGGAGACGTACATATCAGAATTGGCAGAGCCACTGCTTTTCTTTGAATTGTTAATGTGGTGCCTCATTTCACTGAAAACAGAGATGCAGATCTTGCAGGCACGGTCCTGCTAATCTTGCTAAAATCTTACAGATTTGAGACATGGTCACGGTTAAATGCAGGCCTGAACAATCTTGATGATTTCCTAATGTGACACCAACAACATCCTCTGGAATCTCCCTCCACAACTGTCTGAAGATACTATAAGAATGAGATTCAGTAAATAACCTACAAGAGAGGTTGAAAGACAAACATGCGTATTAAGATGGTTTGGGCATGTATGCAGAATGGAAGAACATCACCTTTACAGACCTCAGTGGAAAAAGTAATTCACACAAGGGAAGTTTCAGTGAACAGCACCAACAAAAATATGGCCAAAGCAAATTGAAGATGTACTGGAAAAAAAACCCTAAGACTCTACTTACATGATACAAAATAAGCTGCCCACAATTGGAAAACATGCAAAACCAGTGTAACAGCAACATACTGATTCTGAGATTATCATTGTCCAGATGCTGACTAAAGAAATGAAAATCAAATCTAAAATTTATGATGCTCTTTACAACCTAAGGCAGTGGTCCCCAACCTTTTTATCGCCGCGGACCAGTCAGCCTTTGA